TTGCTGCTTAGCAAGCCAGATCTCTGACAAAGGCAAAACTCCCAGGGGACAGATCCAAGGATGCAGTCATTCTGGGATAGTATTGATATGATATGATATTCTGAGATAGTATGATATGATGTGACATGTGATATATGATACATCATACCATATCATATCATATATGATATGTGATATATGATATATCATATATTGTATGTCATGTCATATATGATATGATATGATATATGATATGATATTCTGGTATATGATAGTATCTGGTAAGGAGAGGTATTTGGAAGATAAAAGGAGCCAGAAGAATAGCAGCAAAGTTGCAGTTGAGTCAGTCATGCCCATTGATCAACTGCAGAGAGCTGCTTTCCAAGTGAGGTGCCAAACAGGAACAGCCTCTGGAGCAAAAGTTGGGGGAGGAAGCGAAGGAACAGATCTAGGGGTATATAAGCAGGCCTGAAAAAGAAAGGACAGCTGGCTCCATGAATGTCAAGGACTGAAAGAGTGAAGGGAAACTTCGAACTGGTCCTGAGGGCTGCTTTAGCGCCCTGGGAAATTACAGGGAGGAGTGAGAAATGTTGGTGGGAGTGGAGATGAGGTGTGAGCTTATTCAAAGGAATTTGGACTATTTATTGACTCTCTCATTCAAGTCACAGGCTTGCAGTCAGCTGGTGCCAGGTGCCCTAAGCAAGCAGGTAGCCATTCATGCAGTCACTGCTTTGACTGTATGCAGGGGACAGGCAGATGTCTTACCCAGCGTCTCCACTATGGGCAGCTTCTTCACGATCACTCTTTTCTTGGCCATCCTCAAAACGCCGAGGACCAGTGTCACCGTGACCACTATTGGGAGGCCCTCTGGGATGGCAGCCACAGCCAGGCTGGGTTTCAGTAAAGAGAGACAAGACTTTCCATTACAGTATGTTCAAACCACCCTGTGCAGCACCCACCACCTAACTGCATGTTGCAAATCAATGTTTCTGCACTGCACGAGATGGGACTCTTGCCTCAAAAGATAAGATTAGGACTGGGAATAGACTGAACTTGGGTTTCCCACATGTTAAGGACTCCTATTTTGTCCAGTCTCTCTCTTACCAGAAAGACGGCTATTCTGGTCTCTTGCTCCTTCTCACTCAAACCAATGCCCTAGATCTGTGAAACATTTCAGTGAAACAGCATTTTCCAACTGAAACTGTTTCATCACACATTTTTGCCTAACAACTAATCAGCATCTTGCAGTCCAACAGGAATGTCACCGCTCAGCACCTAGGAAATCCAGGGTCGCAACCCATTCAAATGTGCCGTTCAAAACTAGAGACCACTCCTAAAATCCTGACTTCAATTCTTTTCTTCTTCCTCACTTTGTAGTGAACCTGGAACCAAACTAGTTTCTCTTCTTTTCTGTTTGAATGCAAAATACTAGAAAAATAATGATCTTGGGGCCATGGTAACACTTAACATACTTTTCCCAAGTCTTACCCAAACAGATGGTTCTCTGTATTTATTTAAAGGGCTGTGCACGCACTTTCATATCACACAGAAATCTAACTTTCCTTGCTTTGTAGACAACTTCATCAGATAAGACCAACAAGGCTAATATTTGCAGATGTAACACTCCCTCTTACTTTATAGCATAGGTATGGTGGGACATGTATGATGGGAAATAGGAAGGTAGGCAGGGAAGCCTGAGTTTAGATATGCCTTGCTGAAGGAGCACATTCACAATGCAATTCTGATGCTAATGAAATAATGCACTGGTAAAATAAAACCAGAAATAAAACCTCCAACCTGCTTTTATTTCCTTCATTTGTCGTTGAAGAAATAGTACATTCTTTCACCCTTGCTCTGAAATCTACTGAAGTGAATTTATCATAGAGAGGTACGGCTGGAAGGGACCTCAAGAGGACATCGAGTCCAAGTGGTAAAACTCCTACTAATTTCATAGGCTGAGGATCAACAGCTATACTGAAGAGCTTACATGAGTAACAAATTCTGTTCTGGACAAAGAAAAACTGCCCTCTATTGTCTCTGTGTCAGCCACTTGAATGAGAAACGTTGTTGAGAGAGAGATTTCATTGCACGTAAGAAAGCAAGGAGTCTTTTCAATCCTCACCTAACTCCAATAGTAAACATGCTGAGCAGATGTTTTCCTTGCAACCAGCCAATGAGCATTATTAAACCTAGAAGGGAGAAGAAATGATATCAATCGAACTTTTTAGGGAATGCCGTCTTCTTCTTCTCCAGCTACCTTTGCATCTGAGTGCCCAGCTTTTGACTGCTCCGGCCCCAGAGCCAGTCAGACGTCCGTAACTGAATGCGGAGTACAGTTCTCATGAACTCACCAATTATGCCAAAGGAGAAGAGGGTAAGCTGTTTCCCCAGCTGATCCATGCTTTTCTGCAGAGGAGTTTTAGGTGTCTGGAAACATGAATGAAAATAATGCCTGTTACATAAAACGTGATGTGTGTCTAGAATTAAGGACAAAATGAATATGCCAGTCATCACTCCTGCAGCGCCAAGTAAGCCCAAACTGAGATTAGACGTGGATCAAGCATTGTTGCAACATGCACACATAGCCCCTACCTTCAGGAGCCTAAGTCTAAATGGACAAGACAGGCCAGAAAGTTAAATGCTTCGAAGTGGGAGCCAAAAGCTGCATGCATACTTTTGATATTATACAGTCCCTGGATAAAATGCAGAAGCCATGTTATCTCAAAGCTGGAACCCCCTCCAGTTAAATTCCCCATCCACTAGGCTGCACAGGCAGTGAATGGCCCAGTGAATCCTGGTTTCTCTTCTGCACCATGGCACAGCCTGAAGAGAAGGGGTGGAGAGGGCTGCCAGAACAGCCCAAACCCAGGTCAGACAGTAGTAGAGACTAAAACCAGCTCTCCCTCATGCCATGCTCTAGTCATTACACTGCTATATAACTGCAAACCCTGCCCCTTTACCTCCGCTTCGTGGGAAGCCCCTTTCTCTGGGTCCAGTTTAGCTGTAATCTGAGGACGCTACTAGACTGATGCCCTCGGGATGGAAAGCACCTAGTTTCTCGGGGCTTAGGCATGAGACAGGAGCTGAACTGCTCAGCCCTGCAGCGCTTCTGCTCAAGTGCAGAAACAAAATTCGACATTCTTGGTGGACTTCAACATCGAAGATGGAGGCGCCTAGGGAAGTTGGGTGCTACCTTTGGAGCTTCTGAACAGAGGGTTTCAGCACCTGGGGTCTGTGGCAGAAATGGGAACTGAACCCAGGTCTCCCTGGTCCGGCTCATTAACTTCATTCCAGAAATCACAGTGGACTCCAATATTTTAATAAAAGCGTGCAGACTCTGATGCCACAGAGCCCGCACAGGATAGCTACTGCCCTCTTCCAACAAAACTGAGTTCATTTCCCTTACCTCCTCTGCTTGCATCATTTTGAACACTTCTCCAAACTGCGAGTTTTTGCCGGTTCCAATAACCACTCCCTGAATTAGGGCGAGAGAGAGAAGTCACGCCTGTTGTCAACTTTATTTAAGACATGTTGCGGCGACATAGCAATGGAGCGCATAGAGGACTCACTTTTCCCGTCCCATACCGCACCAGGGTTCCCATGAAAACAACATTACTTAGTGTCGTTATGTCCCCAGCTTCCACTAAGGTACCATCAGTCTTGCTACAAGGCTCAGCTTCGCCAGTAAAACTGGATTCATCCACCAACAGGTCTGTAACCTAATTAAAAACATAAGTGTTTATGGCTTTTCACTCAGCATTGACTACCGCACGTTATCACTTATGCATGAACTGGAGCTTACCTCTATCAGTCTGAGATCTGCGGGAACCCTGTCTCCAACAGAAAGACACACGATATCTCCCGGGACAAGTTCCCGTGCAAGAAGATGGTGCAGTTTCCCTTCCCTTACGCTGCGTTACATTGAAAATGAATGTAAATAGCATTAGTTGTAGCAGCCCCACAGTTTGCTAGGGAAAGAGGAGAAGAACTTCTCCCCTGTCCTAAAAAATGAACATACTAAGAAAAGGCAATTATGTCCCTACTCTGAATACACTCTCAATCTGTAAGCAGAAGGCTGGATTTGGAAACTGGATTTCACTAGTATGTTCATTTAACCCAAGTGTCTACAACTAGAGAATTATCCCTGCTATTTGAACTCAAAGACTGCTTACATGCAGCTTCAATATCTTGTAAGACTCAGCAGACTGTTGAAAGGTAGAATTATGGTTGATTTTTTGGGGGTTTTTTTTTTGGTATTGTTGTCCTACATGTTTGACCTTCAAAAGATTTGGTGCCTCTTTAACGCAATTCACTGAAAGAAATAGGTAAAGGTGATCAGAGTATTTGCAAGGTGCAAAGTTGCATGCCCTTTATTGTAGAAAAAGCTGCACCTCTTTTTTGATACAATGGTTATAACTTCACCAGGAACCGCTTATTTCCACTGGCTATGTAAGACCTGATTTTCAGAGATAACCATAGCAGAATGGGCTTGTAAACTGGAGAGCACTCAGGCAAGTCCGATTTGATGAACCAGACACGGCTGTAGACTTCAGTGCAATGTAGACTTGTGGTACATACAGAAATGCTTTTCAAAATTTGGCACATGCAATTGCATGCATGCATTAACACGTAGCTAATTTATTCCCAAATGCCTATCTAGGCATGTACATTGGGTATTTGTATATTGGTGTTAATTTACATATGCATGTGTTTATGTGTATACAGAAATCTCAGTTTCTAAAAAGACAGCCAACCCATTAGGCTCAGTCTCACAGTGCAAAGCTATAATAAAGTCAGAAGATATGCTTAATCTGGGATTCTCCTGCCTTGGAGAATCTACAGGAGCGTAAAGGGCATATCTGTGCCTTCCCTACACCCTAGTCATCTCCAGGTAATGGGTTCACTTTTGTGGGTCGTTGGCAGCTAAACAACCTTCTGGTTGCGGTAATCTATATCTGGAGACCAGTCTGGCATTCAGCCAGCCAGGATGGTGGGGAGGTCACAAAGATGACCTGAAGACATTAATTCTTGCCACTGCTTTTTCACCATGTGCAGCTCAGCCGTCCTGGAGTGAGACTGTTCAATAGGATGGATCTGTGGGTGCATGCTAGGTACTACCTTGCAGATCTAGCCCTTACTATTCTTGATACTGTATAAACTGTCTTTGGACATGCCTAGTATATGATATAATAAAAGAAAACACAACTGCAAATTATTCTGAGCATGCAGTTATCAGGCCAAACAAAGGAAGGAGAAAGAACAGAATAAGGAGCAATGGTCTCGAGTTGCTGATATTGCAGGTTAAGTTAGATATTAGGAAAAACTCCCTCACTAGGAGGGTAGTAAAGCACTGGAACAGGTTACCCAAAGGGTTTTGTGGAGTATCCATCCTTGGAGGCTTTTAAGACTGGGATGATGTAGCTGGGGCTGGTCCTGCTTGGAGCAGGGATTGGACTAGATGTGACCTTCTGAGATCCCTTCCAACCCTCATTTTCTATGATTCTATCAAATAATGATCTGATAGCATGAGAAATATGACTTTCCCCACCCCCTATAGTGATTTAGCTAAGGTTGGGCAGCCTAAACATTATGCAAACCCTTCATATGCTAATGCCGTCATTTCCATATGCACATTTGGGAAACCAACATTCGATTTATAGGAATGGCTGGACTCTTAGCATTATAGCCCACATGTGCTGCTTCGCAGTACTTGTGCCCACACCCCTGCAAACAGTTGGTATCACACGCAGGATCTTTATCTCTCAAACCCCAGGCCTGAGCTAAAGGAGAACTCCCATAGCCATGAATAACCAGAGCTCTGTAGTCACAGAGGCGAGTTATCATGAGAGATATAATTGTATGCATGCAGGGTGCTCATGTCCCATCCAGAGACAGGCTTATCGCTTATTTGGTTTTGAAGCTCGCTGCATGCGCAAGGACTTGAATCATTGCCTTCGTTATCTGCTTCGCTGCCCAGAACTTAAATGAATAGGTATGTATGACATACCAGTTACACTCTGGAGGGACTAGCTTGTTGAGCTCTTCCAAAGATTTTTCAGAGCGATATTCCTGATAAGAAAGTAGCACAGAATAAAGTCACAAAAGCAGGATGGTTTCCAACGGCGCTATAAATTGAGCTGGAAAGCTACGCTACAAGGTTTCGCTCATGACATACCTGGATGAAGGCCACCGTAACCACAATTAGCACGGCCTAAGAAGAAAAAGGTAGTAAATTCTTGGGCACATGGACTACAGCTAACGACATGCTTGCGTGGACGGGGCAGTCGCTTACCATTGCAATGCTCACAGCATCCTCGTACTCTTTTGTGATGACGCTCACTAAGGCAGAAGCCAGCAGCAGTAGAATCAGCGGGTTCTTAAACTAAAAACCAAAACAGGCTTTTTTTTTTTAATTGTGCGTGAAAAATCCATCACTAAAGGTGAACCGAGAAGCAGTTTAGGGCCAGACTTCATTCAAAACAGCAAGGTTCACATAATTTGCATTGAAATCCCCCCTAAGACTCCCCAGCAGCATCCGTCTGTAATCATTGACTTGGGGAAATTAAATCCAGTCTGCTAGCTTTCAGTCTAATCCTACTTAGCCTGCTCATGTGGGCACAGGCGTGGAAGAGCTGGGGCACAGACCAAGAAAATAAGATAAAAGCTCAGTCCACAGCACGTGTGCTTCTGGCTGCTGTTGGCTAGTGAAAGCTTAGTATTTTTGAAATTGTGTTAATTTTAGTAGGTGCTAAATATGGATATGAGGCTTAATTTTAAGCTCCAGTGTGTAAACATCTTAGCTTCACTTAGCTACTTTTACAAGTGATGCAATTAAATTAGGGTAAAGGAAAGAGAAGAAAAAAGTCTTTGCTTGCTATGGCATACAAGTTACGGCTTAACATGTTAAAGGAGTGAAGGCTTGATTCTGTTCCCATTGCAGTCAATGCCACTTCACTGCCATCCTTAGATCCATAGCATTTATTTTACAAGTTTAGTGACAGGAATAAGCCATACTGAAATTTAAGTCTGTTTTTAAGGATCGTTCACCTTTGTGTGTGAATTATGCGATCCACCAAAACCACCAAAGAGACTGAAGCATTGTCAGAAAGTGCAGGTATAACTAAAGAATTAATATGGTAACTTCAAAGGAAAATAACTTGCTAAGAGTCAGGATTAAGGGAAAAAAAGATTCAACATTTATTAAAAATTTTTGATTAGGAGTGCAGAACGTGTTAGAAGATTTACTAAGTGTTACGTGCTTAAAGAATATTGATCAGGTCAGATAAAAAATACTGAAATAAAAAGTAACCCTTAAAATAATTAAGGCCTGGCTAATATGGAACCAGCAAAACACAAAACCAGCAAGAAAAGAAATCCCAAAATAATAAATCTGCAACGACAACAACAAAAATCCTTCTCTAAGGTAGGCATGAAAGATAGATAAAACTAATGAGATCCACTGGTGAAAGGAAAATTTAATCTATATCTGCGCAAGGATTACTCAACTGAAGAAGAATAAGATTAAAAATGTCACCCATCCCCATTGCTTGTTTCTGTGGGTTTGTTTGAATCATTGACCTTTCCAAATAATTTGCGGTATCAAATTTATTACCATATCAAAGAGCTGAAAGTCAGCTTTCATCCGAGCTTTAGATGCCACAGGCATTTTTGCTGAAGGTTTAGTGCTGATCGCTGAACCATATAACAACTCATATCAGGATGAGACCAATTTATTACTTTCCTTCTCAAACCTTTCATTCTTTCATCACCGGACCATGCTCCAAGCGTTATGCAATCAATACATGAATGACAAAGCTTGTGATTTATGCGCATGGCAAAGATCTTTATCTTCAGACACAGCAAATAGGGGTCTTTAGCCTGCAGCGATTTCCCCAGGGACACAGATAGCCCAAGTACTTCTTTAAAGAATGGGGGTTCATGAACCAGTATACGTCTTACCATACAGAATTCAGGATGATTTTTTTTAACAGCTGAGTAATGCAGAATTGCAGAAATATATGGCTATCTTGGTTGCTTTATCCGGGCATTAAAAAAATCCACAAAATAGTTACCTGGTCTAGATATTTCTTCCATATTGGCTCCGTATTGTCTACTATAAATTCATTCCAGCCATGGGTCAGCCTGCGATGGAGCACAGATAACTCCGAGAGTCCCGTTTGTAAATCGACCTGGAGGGTGATTAAAATCATAGTGGATAACCGTGCAAAGCTACATTAAAAAGCTATTAATAAGCTTGGACAGAAGTTGGGTCTAATGTTTGACCGAGTGTTAGAGCTGTTTTTTATATGAGACAGGCTGTACAAACTGGAATATTCAGAATGACCTGAAATTGCAGACAAGGAGAGTATGCTACAGTTTTGTCATCCACTCTCCAAGAACCAGCAGAAGGGGCATAAATAAATTAATAAACCCTCCTTCCACATGGACGACTGAATGGCAGATCAAAAAGCAAACATGGGACTGAGTTCTGGATTCACTAGAAAAAAATACTTCAGTGTTTTTCCATATGAAAGAGACAATATTTTAAAAGAAACCAAATTGCAACTGCAAATTTTAAAAGACGGCAAGAATGGACGATATATGAGAAGTTTAGAAAATATTTTGGATTATGACACTCCTTGATTCTTTAGTCAGTGGCTTTCTATCTTTTGGATTATTAGTCTAATATATCCATGGCCAAGCCTGCATTCCTCCCAATATAGTATTAGGTTTCTCCAGTGAGAAGAGTTTTAATAGGAACTGAGTAACCGTGATCTGGATTTGAAACACAGATGGAAGCTGAGTCTCTAATAGCTCACCTGAGTTAGACTCTCTCCTTGTGCTCCTTGTGGGACACCCCACAAATATATATGTGCACCCCAGCTCACCCCTTCCACTTCAGTGAGCACACACAAAGCACACGACTGAGGGCCTGCAAAAGCATCAGGTGGTATTTTGAGGACGTATCTCCTGGTCTAGACCCATAAGGCAACTGTTCTTGAGATGCTACAACTGTGGTAGGTATAAGTCATGAACCTGAGGCTATACAACAGCCCACTAAGACTCCACATAAGACCTGAGCTGGAAGACCACATAGCAGGTCAGAGCTGTGCATATTGGATGGACGTTGGCAGAATGGGCCTGAACCTCCTACCTGCTGGTGATAGACAAAGAGTCCCCAAGTAATGAATCATCTGGACGGCTTCAGTAATGGCTCACCACCATCATTCGTCCCAACAACGTAACTCATGTTATTCAGCTCTCATAAAAATCATCCCAAATTTGAGGGCTCTTCCCAAACAACCCCCCAGATCTGCATACCCACAAATTATGGGGGAGGTCACAATGGCAAGTGGATTTGAACTGTGCAGCTTGACCCTATCCCTGAGTAACACAAAACTAACCAGCAAGAAAAGAAATCCCAAAATAATAAATGTTGAGTCTCGACTGAGGTGACAACACCTGTAGTCATGCTTACATGCAGAGCCTTGGCCAAGTCTTCTTTATGGCATTTGCAAGCGTCTCTGGAGGACAAAGCTGTGACGTCCTTCTCCTGTTCAACTACTTCCAGCTCGCATTCTTCAGCCTGAGTAACAGAGAAAGCAAGGATTAGGCACGGACGCAGCGAGGGCAAGCATCACGTTGGCTTTGGGTTTCTCCATTTACGGGACTTCTCTCCTGTTCTCTCTCCAGTCACATGACCTCTTGCTTATCTAAACACTTGGTCTTCAAACGCACTTTACAACCATTAGCTAGTAAATCTTTACTATCCCCCTCTAGTTTAAGTATCTATTATTTATCTTTATCTGACGGCTAGGGAAGATTAAGACAGAGAGATTAAAGGATTTGTCCAAGGCTACAGAGGCAGTCATTGTCAGAGGTGCAATAGGAGCTGGTAATGCCTTCATTTTGAGTCTTCTGGTCTTTGCCTCTGAGAGGACTCTCTTCCTGAGCTCTGGACATGTGAATGTGCTTATTTTACTTTGAAAATGAAAGACAAACTTCCAGGAAAATCAGTCTACAATATACTCACGTCTGAGTTAAAAGCTTGCAACCTCCTCACCATCTTGGCTGCAATACTTATTATCCCGACATATATTAATATTAGGGATGGGTAATCCTGGGTGCCCATGTTATGCAGCCTTCCTTAGTAAGGGCACATAGCCAGTCAGGGGCTTCTCTTCATTGACAGTACGTGGGGCATAGAAATACCTTTCAGGGGCGTATTACCAGCGCTGCATGCCTCACTGATCTTTGTCAGCTAAACAGAAATCAATCAGGATTTTGCAGAACATTTCAGACCGTGTCAAAAGAAGAGGAGGACCAGATGTGAGTGCCCGAAGCAACGAGGGATGTGTGCACCCGGCGGATTTGGTCGAAGCTGGGTCTCAACAGCGAGAGTGCATTGCAGAAGTGGGCGAGGACTACACTAGGAAACCCAAGAAAGCAGGAGGCCAAGCATGACTGGGAAGGAGGAATGTGCAGGAGAGCAAAGCTGAAAGGGCAGAGAGAGGCCTGAGATCAACAGTCTAATCTGCTGGATAATGAAACTTCTCTGGGGGGCTTAGAAAAAGGCCTGTGGCAAAATTGAAAGAGGCTAACATTAAGGGTGCTTGTACACATGACGGGCATTTAGTCCTCAGGGTTGATTCAATGCCCCCTAAATTGAAATGGGGGGGTTTAATTGAAACTCACCATGTCAAGTTTTCCATCACAGTGAAGGGCCTGATCCATTTTTTTTTTTTGGTTTGGTCACAGCTGGAGTCTGCCCATGGCCAGTGGTCAAACCACTGAGCTGCAAGGGGCCCCGGTCCTTCCCTCCACAGCGGCAGTGCCCCCCAGGGCTGCCCAGGTTGTCCCGGGCTTGCCTCAGGTTGAATCCATCTCTCAGTTAGATCTGCCAGCATCTGCACTGGCACCCTTTGCTGTATGTCCTCTCATCTATTTTTGGCCCCAAACTGCTGTTGATAGTTGCTGCCTCCGAGCTGGGGCAGCAAACTCTTCCCTGACGCTGTGCTGGGGCAGCACCCAGCCCACTAGCAGCCTGCCCGGGTGGCCCCAGTGGGTGCTGCTGCCACCGAGGGAAGGACCAGGGTCCCCCACAGCTCAGGGGCTGCTTGGCCCACCGGCAGCTCACTCCCCGGCTGTGGGAGAGGGAGGCAGGCTCTGCCAAAAAATAAAACAGCATTGGGTGCATCGCCGCTTCTGCCTTCACCAGGCACCTGGGGCTGGCAGGACGCCCGGGGCCATCCAGGAATGGACTGGCTTGCCCCAGGGCAGTGCAGGAGGGTGGCTGGGTGTGTGGGGACGGCGCACGGGGCACCACTTCTTTAAAACAGCAGGGATTTGATCAGAGCAGCCCATAAAATAAAATTCACCGAACATTGTCTGGCTCATGTTCCAGGACATTGCTGCTCTCTCATATTACAGAGCATAACTTTATCATCAGGCAATAATGATGCTCTATGAGAGAGCATAAATTATTACCATGAAAATGACTATTAATCCTATAAACTCTGCTCCATCCTGCTTTGGTCTGCCATCTGACTCATTGGTGCTGGTAATTTGAGTGTATTGTAGCTGGATTCTGGCTCCGACTAGTCCGACTGCTTAAGAGATTAGCAAACCTCCACCAGCTGCAGCAAAGAAAACTGTGCTCTCATTATCTCTTGTTTCCAGTGAATTGCTTAAGGAAATTATTAGGAATATGTCTGGGGAATTTAAGTCCCACTCCAGCCTTGTGCTCTGAAATTTCCCAGCTGACTTGAACCTGCTGAATTTTTGCTCTTTTGGCCAGCTACTAGCCCCTTCCTCCTTCAAACAACAGGAAAATCCTCCTGGTACAGAGAAAGGTCTTATCCCTCAGGGGGAAAAGGCTGGTTATTCAACAGAGTCATCATAAACTAGGAGCCCTTCATGAAATCCCTGGCAGCTTACTGAAACAAGGAATTGCAAGGTGATAAAGCAAAGCACGAGTACTTGTTCACAGCATCCATGAAGGAAGTGAAGACTTTTCCCGCATCTAGAAGCACTTCTAGGAGACCATCCTTCCTGTCTAAGAGATGAGATGCACTTGTTTTGCTTCTTGAGTGAGCATCTCTGAGGCTTAGCTCCCCACCTGCCAAGACAGGGGTCATCTCCCTATATTGCAGGGGACAAGGATCCACAACCAGGGTTTCTGAAGCATCTCTGTGCTCCTTGCCCAGGAGCTCTCATGGACACGGCCCAGGGATCGGGAGATCCTGGCTGTGCAGCACCCGAGGTGGCATTGCAAAATTTAAAGTCTCTACGCCTCACTTCTCCCTCTCGACAACAACTCCTCACAGCAGGAGTGAAGGGAGCTGCGAAGCTGAATTCATTAATGCTTGTAAAGGGCTTTTGCCTCCGAGCATGAAAGATGGGCAAGAAAAAACATGAATACAGCCAGAAAAGGGTGCCCTATCCACAGAAAATGGAATTGTGGGTGAAGACTAGTTCCTAGGCTCAGCAGGGACCTCAAAAGATCATCGAGTCCAACCCCCTGCCTGGGCAGAAAAGAGTGCTGGGGGCAGACGACCCCAGCCAGATGCCTGTCCAGCCTCCTCTTAAAGACCCCCAAGGTAGGGAGAGCACCACCTCCCTTGGGAGCCCATTTCAAATTTTGGCCACCCTTCCTGTGATGTGCAAGGACTGATGGTATGATGAGATGTTACTGAATCACAGACCTCCACTCTCCTTAGCTAGTCCAGGTCTTTTGCAGTGGGTTTGAAGCCCCCTGCACTTTCTAACAGGGAGGAATACCTTACTTGGTTGAAGTTGGCCTTGGTTTTATGGCTTTGGAATATTTTTCCAACAAGCCCTTGAGGATTTTGGAAAAGGATGTGCCGAAGTCATTATTAGCGTTAATCAGCAAGTAGCATAACAGAGTTCAGGTTACTAAGAAAACCCTGCAGCTCTCTCGTAGCAGACAAGGCCTGGGTTGCTGTGCTTGCACCTCTCCTAGTGAGCTAAGAGAATCCTTCCCATGCCGGTATCTTACAGTCTGCTGCACAGCTCCTCGGCAAACACTGCCTTACTCGACAAACATGCAGAAAACCAGTTTTTCCTTATTTATAAAAGGTTATGTTCTGCAATGTAAAAGGGAGAGGGGAAAACCTCCCCCACCCCACCGAGAATCATAATGGAAATGCATCAGGTTTCTCAGCTGACAGCTTGCTGTGAAACAAAGAAAAAAAACTCTTCGCTTCAAAAGGAAAAGACCATAGGGCACAATCCCAGGGCCAGCTAATGATATCAAAAGGGGTTGCAGCCCCTTTGCTGGCAGAAACAGCCAAGACCTGATTTGCTCAGGCTGCTTCGCAAGCGGGCAGGAGACAGAACTGGTCACACTGGGGCACTTGGCACTTGTAGGGG